CCTGTCCTTGCAGCCTCCATACCTGTAGCCACCTGTCCTTGCAGCCTCCATACCTGTAGCCACCTGTCCTTGCAGCCTCCATGCCTGTAGCCGCCCGTCCTTGCAGGGTAGTTAAAGTCCCATGAGCTCAGAGTTCACCTCGGTGTCTTCGAATGAGAAGCTTGTGTTGAATTCAGCCAGATAGGAACTTTATGACGGGTTAGAAAAGTAAATCATTTCGAGTGACAAATTGCCCTAGCATGACCACAAAGTGACTAATACACAGGACCATAAATCTGGTAATAAGTGGCCAAGTCCAGGAATGTCTGTTTGCTTTTATTTTTTGGGATTTCTCGCTTCAGAGTAAATGAATCCCTTCAGTATCCACCCTCCTTTTCCTACTTAGAGTAGAATCTTAATCTGGGCCACCATGGGAGATGGTTACAGTTCTGACCCCCAGTGAGTGGTGCTTGCTGGCCCCACACCCTTGCAGTGTGACATTGCTGCCCCTGACACCACATGGTGTGGCCTGTCTACCTCCTTGAATCTGGGCTGGTCCTGTGGTTTGCTTTGATTAATAGAATACAGTAGGAGTGTGATTGTGTCAGTTCTGGAGCCTAGACCTTTAGGAGCACAGCAGCTCCTGCCCTGCACCCCTCGGAATGCTGAGGCCACCACGCCGTGATCCATATGGCCCACTGGAGAATGAGTGGCCTCATGGAGGAGACAGCAGAGGCCACTGCCACTGTGCATGCGTGAGGTCACTGTGGTCCTTCCATCCAGCTGTCCAATACCTGCAGCCACTGGACAGTCCCACAGAACTGCATGGATTGTCACCTCATGCAATTGTGAGAAATAATCAATTGCTGATGTCTCAGTCCTGCGTGGTGGTTTGTTATGCTGCAAACCACTAAGTGGATATTGCATTTAGCCCCTTAGTTACAGGGTACATCTCCCTGCCTCCTGTGCAGCTAGCGTGGCTGCCTGGCGAGGTTCAGGCTGATGGGATGTGAGCAGCAGTGAAGTGAGCAACTTTGGAGCCAGGTCCTTTGAGAAAAGAAGTGTCCTTTCTTTTCACCGTCTTCCCACTGGCTGGAGTGTCGGCATCACAGTGCACCATTTTGGACCTCGAAGATGAGTTTGACATCGAAGAATGCAAGAGTGGAACAGAGGAGGCTGGGTCCTGCCTCTGCGGAGGCGCCATGTCAGCCCTGGACTCCATATTCTCATGCCATTATAGGAAAG